GCGGGGCTGCCTCCGGCTGTCTCTGCGCGTGTCCGCCGTGCGCCCGGGGACGGCCGCTCTGGGGGGCTGTGCCCGGCGGGAGGCTGGCGTTGAGGTTGATTTTGGGGCGGGCACAGGCCCGCTGCTGCAGCGCCAGTTGCTCTGGGTCTCGCTCCCCCGCACGTGGGCAGGGTCCTCGCGGAGCAAAAGGTCTGACCGTGGCCGCACCCCCGTGGCGCGGGGAGGCGCCTCGCCGGGACTTCAGACGCCCCGTGGCTGCACCTCCTCTGGAGCGCGGTGGCTCCGTGGTGGCGCGACGCCCGCGCCAGCCGGAGCACGTGGGCATGAAGGGTTCAGGGGAGTTTTCTTTCTGCAGCGGCTGCTCTTCACCGGCACCCCGTGTGGGAAAGACTCGCCTCCCCCATTACGTGGCTCCGGCATATGCGTGTGGCTTCCTTCTCCGCTCGTCATTGTGTCCTGCCGGCCACGTGTTCACCTCCGTCGACACGCACGCTCCTGACTGCTGGAGCCCTCCGGTCAGCGCTAGAATTCGGAGTGTCACTCCAGCTTTTTTCTTCTTCATAGTCGCTTCAGCCGACTTAGATTTCCATGTCTTACATTTACACAATATAAGACATATTTTGGCTTAAATTGGTCATTGAAGCCATTTAAAGGGGAAAACGCACTTTGGCCCGTTGGCTAGAGCAGTCTAAGCCGCATGAAGCAGAAGTACAGCTGCTCCGATTAAAAAGGAGCCATCTGTGAGCCACGTGGAACTAACCTGTGGGCCACCAACGGGTCCCCCGCCCCCAGGACTGGCAGGGAGCTCTGGGGGTGCGGCTGTGCCCTCTGCCCCCAGCCCCCGCCGGCGGTGGCTGTCTGAGGCCACGGCAGTGCCCTGTGGCTGCTGCGGCAGGTCGGCCGTGCTCCGCCCGGCTGGGGAGCCCGCTGCGGGCCGAGGGAGCCAGCTAGCTCCTTCCCAGCCACGTCTGAGTGTGAGGGGCAGAGCCAGGGGCTGCCAGCGGGCATGGGGGGAGCCAGGAGGCAGCAGAGGCGTGGGGTGAGGCGCGCAGAGAGCAGAGACACGGCTGGAGGCGTGGCGGGGCCCTGGGCTCTGCGCCCTCCCCGCTGGCAGGGCCTGCGGGCGGGACCCGCCCGACAACCCGGCACGTGACAGCTGGCAGGCGGAACTGTCCCAGGCTCCGGACAGCCTTCTTCTCACGGACTCCTCGAGCCTGGGCCTGGGGTGTTTGGTCTCCTTCAGCGACTCCTCCGTGGCGAGGAATGTTCCAGAAGCCGGGCGCGCTCCTGGCTCCGAGCAGCGCCGCTTCGCCGAATGGAACAGCTTTTCCTCCCCAGCGACCTCGCCTGGCTCAGTCGGGCTGGACCACGGCCCGCTGGCCCCTCTGCACAGACGGGAGGCCCCGGCTTTCGAGCTCTGACGGGCGGGGCCCGGCGTGGTCACGCGGCTCTGCGCAACGCCGCCTCGTCCCCCAAACCACGCCTCGCGCGCCGCAGAGGCCGACACTCTCTGCCGACGGTGGCTGAAGGCGTGGACGCTCTGGACGAGCGCTGCCCCTTCCGGCCAGCTGCCCCGGGCCCCAGGGAGGCCGCGCTGCCGGGCCCATCACCCCGTGCCTGGCCAGGCAGCCACGCGGAGTTTCGGGCCACGCAGAGTTTCGGGCCACGGCAGCGGAGAGCATCTCGGGAGCCCGGTGGAAAGTCAGAAAACCGCACCCGGCACTGCAGTGATTGCTCAGCAGCAGCATTTGCGGGAAGTAGGGGTAACCCAGCGGGCGCCCTGCGCAGTGAGTGGCTTCGCTCGCCCACAGCGGGGGGGGGGGGGCTCCCGGGGGTGGCTGTGGCTTCCGGCGCACGGCGGGCTGAGGACTGGCCTCCCGCTCCTGGGCTGCAGCTTCTCCGCCACTCGCCACCGTCACCCCGTGCCCTGGCCCGGCCTCCTCTCCTCTCTGGGAAGCGGGCTTTCTCTCTCCTGGGGGTCGCTGTGGCGCCCCCTCACCAAATCTTTTCGGTTCTTTGCCCACGTACGGGGTGGGTGACGCCCACCCTGCCCCCCACCCCTGGTCGGAGGCCGGTAACTGGCTTGCAGGGAGGCAGATGGCTGGGGGGGGGGCCCAGGGCGGGGCTAGGGCAGGGCCGTGTGTCCAGCCCCGGGCTGCGGCCCGGGCCAGAAACGCTACTTAGTTCTCCCGTCGCTCCCCGGCCTTCAAGCCTTTCCTGAATTCCCTTAGGAGATGCCCCTCTCTGGCCACCTGCTGGCCACGCAGAGGCCCTCAGACATGGCTGGGCCTGTGTTGAGAAGTAGTTCTGGGGACCTGGACGCACCATCAGAAGCTTGAGCGACAGTCACCAACTTATTTCACTTGTGTTTTCAGTTTTAGGCACGCTCGATAGTCAGAGGCGACAGACACCTCCTCGCCGTCTCAGAGAACTCTCGCACCCGGAGAAATCAGAGGCTGGAAGCCGGCGTGGCGCCTCCGTGGCTCTCCTTCACCGTGGGAGAGAAAACCGGGTGCTCTTGCCGTGCTGTGTCTCGGAGCAGGCGAAGTGGGTATTCCTGCCTGAGCTGCTTATCACAGACATCGCCGTGTCACTCAGATCGCCTTCGGTGAGGCCAGCCAAGGCTCTGGCCACTTACAAAGTAGCTTCCCTTGGCCTGGAGCCTCGAGATCTGAAGTCTGACCCGCGCCGGGCTGGACACGGGCAGGCCCCAGCTCCCAACACCCCACAGGCCTGCAGCTTGGTGCCCGGGAGCTGGGCGGGACGAGGCCCGGGCCCGGGGGGAGACTCGCCCTGCTAGTCCATGGCTTTGTCTTCCGACAACTTGTTTCAAGAGTCGCAGGCTCAAGGGCAGTCGCAGGGCGGGAGGGCCGCGCCCTCGCCACCTTCGGGGCCACGTGTCCATTACCACGTGGAACAGGCCGAGGTGGCCGGCGGACAGCGGCCCGCACGGGCCGGCCGCTCCTCGGGCGTCGTGTGCGTGGGGTCGCACGGGCACACGGGGGAGCAGAGCCCCTCTCGCTGAGCCCCCTCCCGGGGCCCTGACCCCCTACTCCGGAGACGCTCATCTGTCTCCCTTCCTGTGGGTCAGTCTTGGGGGAGGCGGCACAAGCGCCGTGCTGTGGCCCCGCAGCCCCGCGGCCGAGCTCTTGGCGCCGCCAGCTCACTTTCTAGGCGAGCGTGCGCAGCCAGACGCCGC